ACACTGAAACGTGTGCCTGTCTTTGTCCCAGGTGGTTGACTCCAGGCTGGTGTCCGTATTCGATGCACGGGAGCTGGAGCTGGTTATTGCCGGGACAGTTGAGATCGACCTCGGTGATTGGAGAAGCAACACCGAATACAGAGGAGGTGTGTGTGTGTGTGTGTGACGACAGAAACGTTTTTCTATTATTGTTGTGTCACGGAATACTTTTTTCATGGCAAAAGTTTTTCAACACGGATGTAGTCACGAAGTTTGCATGAAAGTAACATAAGCAAGCATGCAGGAGAGTGAGCGTGGCAGAGAATGTTGTGATTCTGAACAACAGGTTGACTTTGACCGGCCAAGACAAAACAAAGACCTTGTAGATGTAGTTAAAAGTGTGACCAGACAACTCCACTCTGAAAATCATGTCACGGACCGGTCCCCACAACAGACCCTGACACCACAAACCTCTTTTACCATGTGCAGAAGAATCATGTCAAACATTACAGCGAGAGTCCACGGTCAGGAGACACGATAGGACGGTCAAGAGCTCAAAACCAACCCCAGACTCAGATGTCGCATGACGTTTCTGCTTGTGACGAGTAAAGAATCTCAAAAACAAAAGGAGCAGTCACAGCTTAACATCTGCAAAGACAGGACCAGAGTTTACATGGTCCCATGGTTTGATTATCACATGACAATATTGTCATCAGTATATGGAATCATACAGCCCTATCAAAGACCCCACACTCATGGTATTAATATACAAATCCATATGTGGACCTAACGGGCTGGCTGCATCTGAATGTGTTCTGGCACTCACTGGATTTGAGTCTCAGCCAGTTGTTGATGCAGTGTTTGGTAAATGGTCTATTTGTGTCGAGCTTTTCTCATCTTGTGCAAAGTGCTTTACAATTTGAGTTATACATTATAGTTAGTGCCATTCACCCATTCACACACACATTCATACTGTATCTATGTGCAGCACTTTCTCTATCACACATCAATCACACACTGCCCAAGGACACTTGCAGAATGGGGTAGACGGGGGGAGAACCGCTGACCTTCTGGTTCATGAGCCCATATCATTAGTTCAACCTTTTGGGAAAAATGCTTACACACCCTTTTCCCCAGAGAAGATCATACTAGTTTTTACTGCTGTACACTGTGTGGTAAATATGAAAATGGAGCCAGCAAGTAGCCATTTAGCTCAGCTTAGCATAAATAATGCGTGCGAAATCAATGCAACATGTACAGGCTCGCTGCTTGCCTCTGTTTTCAGTCTTTATCTTTCACTGTACAGATGTGTAACCCATGTGAATCTTCTCATCTTACTCTCAAAGACCCACAATGTCCTAAAATGTCAAACTATTCTATGAAGAAAAAAAGTCCCCTCATGTTGAGCTCTCTGTCAGCGCTCGAGTAAAGACGTAGTAGTTAAGTGACCCTGTCTCCAGCATACTCTGAACCAAGCTTTACAAAACTGGACCCTGATTTGCAACAACAGCGGCTTAGTTTGAATTGACTTTGTTAAATGTCCGGATTTAATTTTTCCAAACTATTTTGGGGAAATTGTAGTGAGGAGAGCAAATGTTATAAGTAGCATTCATTACAAATGAATAGTTTTGATCATGTACACTACAGTATGCATTGATATGTGTATAGAAATGGGTAGAGTCAATGTAACTTCCTGACCCTAACCAGGTTACCATGATGGTCACATCGTGATGCGCTGGTTCTGGGCCGCCGTGGAGCGCTTCAACAATGAGCAGCGCCTGCGCCTGCTGCAGTTCGTCACGGGGACGTCCAGCGTGCCCTATGAAGGCTTTGCCGCCCTGCGTGGATCCAACGGCCTGCGGCGCTTCTGCATCGAGAAGTGGGGCAAAGTCACGTCACTACCCAGGTATCAAACTTTGGTTCCTACAAAGTAGTGCTCCACGATGTTAGGAAAACTTTGTTGACAACAATATGATTGCAAAAAATTAAACAAATGCTTAAGTAGGCTATATAGTGTTAAAGTTGTCCTGCTTTGGGTTCGCTGCAAACATAGACCCATGCAGTGAGTAGCTTATGCAGACACTGAACGTGGACAGGACAAAACATGATCACTAGCAGTTTCCACTAATCTAGAGGTTTGACAGACAATTCTCTGAATGGAAAAACCCTGGACAAGCCCTCAATGATCTGAATATCTTAAATTCATTAGTTAGGGCAGTAGGGCTCCATCTGATTGGTCAAATATATTGACATGCAGAGCGTGATTGCATGGCACATGGAACACCATGTATCCCAGTTCTTGTGCAATACGTTTATCGTGCATGTCGAATATTGGATGACGGTAAATTTCTGATATATTGTGCAGCCCTACTACAAAGCCATGTTTACACTCTTTTGCCTGATCTCCTCATCTTGTACATCAAACAGGTGCTACAAGCGAAATGTAAGGTACACACACAGCATCAGTTTATTAGGGGCCACATGACGTGGAAATGTTTTGTGTGTCTAAGGAGGAAATATTTTCCTGTTTCGTAAAGGTTTAACCTATTGATATCCAAAGATGTCTTTAGATATGCACTGAACTCAGCTGATCCCCTGGACATGGAGGACATACGCAAATATGAAAAAAAAACTAACTGAACTCTGGACCCAATTCTCTGCACATCCTCCCCACGTCATGTCTGAAAACGGCTCTATATTAGTATATTGTCTATATTAACAAAGAATCCAACAATGAACTGACCCAATGTTGTCTAAAATGCATGAAAAGGACATCAGTAAGCTACACTGTTTGGACTTTTGTCCCCAAAGGTCCTGTGCTGTTTCTTGACACTTTGGACCACAGCTTGTTCCCTTGACTCAAACATTCAGGGAGCCTGATGAAATAATAACACTGCACCAGCACCTTTGTGTTTTGTATACAGTATTACTGGCGCTTGGAGCTTTATATAACTGCTCTGACATTGCACATATCAGAACACAAACAATGTACCGACTCAGCACAAGGGCTGTTTTTTTTTTTTCACCTCCTCTGCAGTGTAAGTAGATGTGATATTGTTCGAGGCGTGTTCCTCTGACCTTACTGCAGGGCATTCATTAGGTAAACAGCGGTTAAAATGTGAGAGCGCTCAGCAGAAAGAGAGAGCTATGGGCTCACATTTCATGAGAAGTAGCACAGTTTGACCGCGTGGACCGTGAAAGCAGGCAAGCTGGCATGATGGTGACGTTTCTGACACCCCACAGATGAAAAGCGGAAAAAATCCAAAAGAACAGTAATATCTCAGGATGAAAAAGAGGACACGTACACGAAGACGTGTGGTGTAAACAAAGACATATGATCTCCGCAGTGGAATTAATACATCATGTCCTGTCTCCTGCATTCTGCACTACCCCTCGCCACAACAATGCAGAGATTGTTGTGTTGTGAAAGCATCTGAGTGGAGAATCTCCTTCTTTGTCTCCATCTGTGGAAGACAAAAAACTAATACATCATCTTTTTCTTTCACATTAAAAAAGAGAATTCAGGAACAAACCTAATACAAAGCTTTCTTAGTTCAGCCTTTGCTTTGCCTCGTGTTATTGAGCCATGTTAGATTACACTACTGTTTTAAAGGAACCTATTTGCAAATCAAAAACTGTAAATGTTTGCACCTGTACAATTGATACATCTAATTTGAATACATTGAAATATGATTTGAGCTCCAGGTTTTCCCTTCCAACCATCAACCCCTCTCTTTTTCTCTCTCTCTCTCTCTCTCTCTCTCTCTTAGGGCTCATACCTGTTTTAACCGCCTGGACCTGCCTCCATACCCATCATACACCATGCTGTATGAGAAACTGCTAATTGCTGTGGAGGAAACCAGCACATTTGGCCTGGAGTGACACAGACAGAAAATGAAGAATCAACACTGCATCTGTCCGGGTATTACACTTGGCTGGGCCATAACGCGAAGGAAAAAGCGGTTCTGGTGGGCTCATGTCGTACAGATACCTGGATTGCACTGAACAAAACGGTTTTGGTCGTGTGGATGTATGTATGTATGTCACTGTGGGGAAATCTTTCACTTGGCTATGCTGATGTTTATGACAGCACCCAGCACTTAGTACACTACAGAAGGACTAGAGTTATTTTTATATTAATCATGAAGACTGGATAATATAAAACACTGATATGGCAGTGCATGTATACCCAAAGAAAGGGTATACAAGATGGATTCAAGATCATTTATAGTTGCATGTCCCAAAATGCATAATCCACCCAATGATAAAATTACTTATATGTAGATCATAACAAAAACTAACCACAAATAAAGATAAATATATACAAAGAAAGAAAAAACAGTAACATACCTGGTTTGAAATTTTGAACTGACAGAAAAGATTTAAGTAATAAATGAATAAGTAATAACAGAAAAAGCTTATACAGGAAAATACAAAGAAACAAATCGAATCAGAAAGAAAAATAAAGGTATAAAGACAAAAGAAGCTTTAATATAAGCATGTTTGACAAATGAGGGTTGGAAAAGTAAAATTACACTTTTACGAAAATTTTTGTTTTAAAAGATTTGCATTCTGTAAATCCTTCAAATGTTGACGTCGAAATTTGTCAATCCGCTTTGTGAATTCAAACTTGAATGCAAAGTCCTGCACACAAATTCTCAGGTGGTTTTGCTGCTCGAATATAATTCAGATAATAGTAAATTATTTACTCATCCATTCAGATAATCTATAAATGTAACAAAAGTGTTTCAGAGTATAATGCGGAAGTCTAGCAGCAAAAGGAACAATCATCTTTGGTTTTTAATCTGGAGAGACAACAAGGAACTGCACTGTGGCAGGTCAATAGGATCTCAGACTGGGACCTTAAGAAATGCTGGATCAAAGAAATGCAATGTAGCAAGGCTTCCGGTAGAGCCTTACAAACAAATCTATAATTAGAACTAGTGTAAAGATGCTTAAAAGGATATAGACCTTGTCTGTTTGCTTCATTCTAAGAAGTTGTCAAGTCGCACAATAACTTGAGCAGAAGGCATTTGGAAAACAAACACCAATTATTAGTTATTCTTATTAGTATTACTCTTTTCCCAACCCACAAGAATGCAAGGGTCCACTGTGCAGACATCCGTGTACCCTTCAGTTTGTGAGCGTTGATTTGCAAGGGCACCAACTGCTCATGCACTTATCCAAGCAGATTCCTAATGGACCAGAAGTAAGCATAACAACTACGCATCTGTGATGTCCTCAGCTGTTCGTCATCCAGAGATGGAGGTTCAAGAAACAACACACAAAAGTACAGATTACTCTTTTTAGACGACAGCAGCTGGGGAAATAAAATAGAACCCAAAACAGAACCGTTGAGGATTTGAATAAAATGACAAAAATAATATGACTGTAAAGACCACTTGACCACAGAAGGGATACTTCAATGTCAGAAACAGTTAACCCATCAATCCACGTTAAGTTAAACTTTATTCAATTCAATTTTATTTGTATAGCGCCAAAACATAATATACATTATCTCAAGGCACTTTACATAGAAGGTCAAGACCTTAGCATCTTTTTTTTAATATAGAGAAACCCAACAGTTCCCGCAATGAGCAGCACTTTGGTGACTGTGGAGAGAAATACTCCGTATGTTAACATCTGCCTCGACAGGTTGTTATCCTCTCCAAGGCAATTCAATGTCTATCATTTGAAAGCAAACAACTCAGTATGTAGCAGAGACACCGGAGAAGTGCTGAAAGAAAGAAAGCAACTGGAATTCACAAAAGTATATAATACTTCACACAACAAACATCCTTCAGTTAAATCGCGATACAGCACACTTAATAGCTAATCCATGCTAAAGGGTGTGTCACAAATGGTTGGGTGTGGTTAGTTACAGGCTCTGCAGCTACTACAATACTTTGTCCAGTTCTGATACTCAAGAAGTATTGGTATGGGCCAGATAGGCCAAGATCTGGACCTGCATCTTTCCTTTCTCTGTGTCCCAGGGGCACAAATATTTCATTATCTTTGGACAGGAACAGAAACAACTTCCAACAGTCTCTCCAAGCCGCTTGGCTCTGCAAGGCTTTCGACAGCAGAGACAATGATGTCATGTCTCCTCTTTCAAAGTAGCCATCAATTCCAAGACAAGGGCTTCTGGGATTCCCTCCGTGGAGTGTGGTCACGTTGACCCAGCAAACAGGTAGTTCATGAGTCCTTGACTAAAAAGAATGCACGTGTCTACTCCAACTGGACAAAGGGGACATTGTATGAATCCTGTTGGCCAGAGCGGTGCTTCATCTGTCAGCATCTCTGGTCCTGCTGTTTGAATGGGAGCTTCTTGTACTCTTATTCAGGTCTTCCACTGATGAACCTCTCCGTGTCTGTGTGCCGTGGTGTTGCTCTGTGCACGGAGCAGGTACTCCAACATCTGAACCTTTACTGTCTCAAACAAGGTGACTGGTGCAAAGCAGCATGTGGGTCTTCAAGGGCTTCATCGGATCGGGATCCTTAACTGATCAAGCTGTTCGGCTATAAACTTCTCATGTGGACAGGGGCCCTTGGATGAACCAGTGTAATATATGCAATAGTTAATAGACTGCAACCTAAGTCTGTTTCACAGTCTGCCATATTTCTTTCGGACAGTGTTCCCTCCACATTCCTGACCCTCTGTCTACATCTCTTGACCAGTAATGAAACTGTGCCTCAGTTACTTACTGCCTCATATGTGGCCTGTGATTTTCATACTTGATATCAGAAAAGTCCTGAGTTCAGAATTTTGCATTGGTTCCTTTTGAAAAACTGTTAGCATGTTCTCCTGGTGTTCACGTGGCTTTCCTGTCACGCTCTAAACACACAACCCTGGTTTGTCAGAAACTCTGACACCCAGTCAACACGAATCATCTTCATCCGTCTTCATGCACAGATATCAAATATCTCATTTCCAAAAAAGCTCATTTAAAAAGGCAACCAGATGCATCGAAGCTGGATTGGAATCTGACACATTTTAGCCAGATGTGTAAAAGGTGTAAAAGCTTTATCTCTCAAAGCCACATACTGTACGTTACGGTTTGTCATTGCAACCACTGAATGAGCTGTAAGCTTAAAGGGAAGATCCACTGATTTGAAACTGACACTGAAGTGTTCTCAGGTGTTGCGAGGTACCACTGCATATGTGAAAACAGTTGTACAAAGCCTTTTTCTAAATCTCCAGAGTGAGCTGTGTGAAGTCTGATAAATGTCCTCAAGTTATGTCCCTTGTTATACAGTGTCAGCTGGGTCTGAAGGGGGCAAGTTTGAAAATGAAAACAATCATGGCCAGTTAAAAGGAAGTTAGTTTACCATTCGTATGTAGCCCACTCCTCATCTCTGCTTGAGGCTTCAGGCTACATTAGCCTCCATCAGCAAATCAGACAGTTGCAATGAGGAAGAAATTGGGAAATAAGAAAGACAGATTTTTCTCATTTGTAGTCCATTAAAGCGTGTGTTCTTTAGCTTAAATTACTCATGTCCTGGAGCTAGTCTCACCAGCTGTCCACAAATTCAATATTATATATAGTTATATAAAACTTTCTTCTGTTGGTGCTGAACTGTAACCACATCTATTTGCCATGAGGAAAGTCTTTCCCAACCTTAAACACAATGTATTTGCAGAATATTGTGTAAAGCGTGGATTTTTTTTTAAATTGTTGCCCTTGGATGGAGAAAATGAACATTATCTTGGATTTCACAGAAACAACCAATAGAGACAGTGTTGTCTCGCAATGGGGTTAAGAAATGTGTAAATCCGAAATTACACGGATTGGCAACCTGCTGCCCTGTTGCATACCAAGAGCAAGCTGTAACAGCTTCAGCCACCCATCTCCGACTCTTTTGTCCCCCACATGACGTTATACTTTTTAATACACAAGATCAAAACATCTCGAAGCTTGATACGATGCTTGCTGTGTTTTATTTGCTCAGTAGGAGAATAATCAAAATGGGGTAATAGGGGTGCTGCAAAAGCAACAGAACTGCAGGATATCATGTTTTGTTGTTGCAGGAGCATAGACCGCAGTATGTGTGAAGAGTAGACAAAGCAAGTGCAGGAATAGATTTGATCAGTCAGATATAACTGTACTGGCAGTGAGAACATTTGCAACACTGTGGCGAGGCCTTATCCACACATCTCTCCAACCTACAGGACAAGGCTGTGATTATGTTGCATTCCCAGTCTTTTTTTCTACAACTCTTTTGTACTGTTATTTATACTGTACTGTAATTATAAGTGAAGGAAAGTCCTGAAGCTCTCCTTGAATGTTTTGTTTGTTTCCTTTTTCTTTTTAAAAAAAAATAAGCATCAGTCCAACAGTTTGCCTTCACTTTCGAAGCCTTTGTGTTTTAATATGTGTCTTTACAATTATCTATTAAACTAGCTGGTTATCTGTCGCTACATCAAGCGCCGCATTAAGCTACGTTTCCATTCGGTTCACGGCGTCTCTGTTTTTCTATTCACCACTGTCACTGGTGGCGTCATCCCATTCATTATTAAGGTTCTGTCTATGCCTTCACTGATTTTTCTTCCATGTCATAGCTTATATATATATAGATATATACATATATAGATAGATCATTTTACTGTACCATGAATTTCAAAGCCAAGTGTATTCAGTAAGTAATCTGTGCTTCGAGCAATTTTGACAACAAATGAAATGCATAAAAATAAGAGATTTTTGTATGTCATTTGATGTAAAATGTAAAGACAGTGTACAGAAGTCTTGCTCTTATTAGGTGTATATGTTGAATACATACATTGTAGATCTTCAACACTGGTATTTGTTCTGGGAAAAGGAAAAACACTCCTCTAACACTGATGCATTAGGGCACTGATTCAAGCTATTATAGAAATATTTAATAAAGCTTCTGGACAAGTAATAAATCATGGGGCGTCGACAGAGGGGTGAAGTGGTGGCAAATTGTAGCAGCAGTTTGGTATTTGTGTGTGTTCAAGTTATTTATTTGTCCATTTTTATTTAACAAAAGGGAATTTTAACAAAGGGAATATGTGATTGACAAGATGGATGGTGGCAAATAATGGGAAGTGATACCTAAGCATGCATATTTTTTTGTGTGTGTGTGTGTGAGTATGTGTGTGTGTGTTTTCGTGTGCGTGTCTGAGAAACAGAGAGAGAGTGTATTACACATTCTGTATGTACATAATGTTGAATAGTACAGCTCTGTCTGAGAACAGGTTGCTAAATACTCAGGCTGTGCTAATGCTCCACCATAACATACAACTGTTTATGAAGCTCAATAAAAAGGTCACTTTGTTACCTTGCTGCCCTTGTGTGTAAGTATTGTACAGACTTAAACTCCAAAAGAAATGATGATTAAAAGGTGAGCGTCAAATAAAAGGAGACAGTTTAAAACAGTTTTGACTAAATGTTAGAAGATCTTCCTGCTGACGTACAATAACCCTGTGATGAGAAAGTTTTCTCTGTCTACAACTTGCTTCTGCTGGAGCTCTCAGGCACTTTTTGTGATCTTGAGCTGTTAGGGGGGAGTGGATTTCCACTTCTCAGCAGTCATCTATAGGTGAGTGCAGTCTCATAACTGACAGGAATAATGTGATTAACTAATATCCTTCAAGAATAAAATATGTAAAGCTGCCATTTGAATTATAACCACACTCATTTACATGCCTCTGCACCGGCGACAGCCAGTGGCCAGGGGCATTAATGATGTCTGTGTGTCCGTCCATCCGTCCAGCCCATTCTTGTAGACACTATATCTCAAGAATGTCTTGAGAGAATTTCTTAAAATTTAAGTACCAATATTCACTTGGACTCAACGGTGATCTAATTAGATTTTGGTGGTCAAAGGTGAAAAGGACACTGTGACATTGACACCTTCAGCAATGCCCAAAGTGTCAGGAGTGTCAGGAGGGGGGGGGGACACAGGTGCAGACCCAGGGGTGTCTCTAAACAATCCAAGGGGGATAACCATATAGAGCCACTACAGGCTTCCTTAAAGAAACAATGCACCACAAATGATTAACAAAACCACCACTGCCAAGCAGCTGACTAAAAAACTAAAATTGTCCAGGAGACCCAGACAACTCTAAATGAAAGGCGAAGGCTGGAGTCACAGCAAACTCTTCAGCACCAACGTATTCACTGGGAAAACTACAGGCACAGTTCTTAGTGGTGTGTTTTCAGACACACTGACAACATGGAGAAGCTCTCACTGCCTCTGAAGGTGAGACAATGAGTCAGCACCGGGCGCTGGAGACTCAGGGGATATGAAGGCTCCCCACACCTGAGCTCAATCACCACCAATCAGAGCCACACACACCAGATCGCAGTGAGTTGATTCTCTCACCACTCTCAGAGCAAGACTGAGCACCCTCACACAAAGGGAATAAAATTTCATGTGGCACAAACATTCACAAATACTCAAGGATGACCTGGATAGAATTTGGTGTTCAAAGGTCAAGGTCACACAAAGTATGCAGTTTTGTGCTATTTTGTACGATTTGCCATAGTCACCAAATACTACATGAGCCACTTTAGGTTCACATTCACTTTAAACTTTGCCTATAGGCCCACATTTGTTTTAGGATATTTGGGCCACATTTGCTATTTTTGCAAGTATGCCACTTTAGGCTCACATTTATTTTTTCCAGGCAACAAGGAGGTTAGAATTTTTCCTTCGTCATTTGAATATTGTTTGAACCAACTCTCATGAAGAATGATCTATTACATACACTTTAACCTTGCTACACGTGGTACATAATGTACAATCGAGGATGTATTGTAGCTAACCTCTAGCATATGGAACGGTTGTGAAGCTGTCTTAATTAAGCTCTATCAGACTAGTTGTTATTATGAAAATAAATAGATTGATATTTATTGATGCAATGCTATTATAAATAACAGCAGCACCAGTTATTGTTATTATTATTAATTATAATCATTTTTTTTATTATCATCATCATTGTTATTAATAATGATAATTGATGAGCAGTGTCAGATGTGGATCCTGCAGATCTGGAGTCAGAGATACCTGCAGAATATGAGAGAGAGAGAGAGAGAGAGAGAGAGAGTTGTATGGTGGCCAAGAGATCTCAACCCACTGCAAAGTAAGAAACTACATGCAAATAGAAAAAAACACATGCAAATTAAGAAAATAACTTGTCATCTATTTGATGACACATGCGCTGCAAAAAGACACAACACATACAGCTTGCAGTGTTTTCTGTTTTCTTTATTTGCTCCTGTCTTTTCTATTTGCTTGGTTTCTTTTATTTAATTTGCAGTCTGTTGAGCTTGCTGGGCCACCGTAGAGTAGAGGACTGCCTGATTTCTAACAATATCACTGAAATATCATTATCTACAATCAGGCTCAAATAAGATTCATGTAAAAAAATTAATATATTATGATTATGATTATCATTTCACCATGATGTTTGTAAGACATGTATATTATTATTACTTTCTAAGTACTCATGTATTCACTCATTGAAAGTTTCATTGAGAACAATACTGCACGCTGTGGACCCTCCTCCAACACGAGGCACAGCGCTCCGCTGTCCTCCATCCTATAGGTCAGCGCACCTGTCAGTCAACACGAGCTGCCATGGTAACCGACAGCCCGGCAGCAGCAGCAGCAGCAGGTCCGTGACAGAGGAGGAGAAGAAGAAGAAGAGGAGAGAAGAGGAGAAGAGGAGAAGTACTGAGTGAAGGAGTTCATCCAACATGAGCCGGACTCTCTCGTCATCTAACTCCACGTTGAACAATGCGGATGGGCTGATACTTCTCCGTCGCGCTGCTGTTCCGTTCCTCTCTACACTCGCCGTTGAATGTCCGTTGGCTAACTTTCCCTGTTAGCTCAAGTTTCCACGCGGACCGAGCCGAACGATCCGAACCGAACCGCTCCCGGGCCAAACGAACGCCATGATTCCCGAATGTCCCCGCGCCGGGGACTCGAGGAGCCGGGGCCGCTGCGTGTACAGCTCGGCGGCAGAACCGAGCCCGAGCCGCGGCGCCAGCGGCTTGTTGACGGAGATCCAGACCACCATCAACAACCAGCCGTTCACCGACCACTACACCATCATCCCCGGCAAAGAGCTCGGAAGGTACGATCAACTCCCTCACCACAGAGCCAGTTATTGTCCTGTAGTTGATGAGTAACAGAATGTATGACTTCTGATTGTTAATGGAGAAGTTTTTAGTTCGGGTCCTGGTGTTTGAATGGATGTATTTTCAGCTGCTGGCTCCGGAACTACAGGCTGTGTGCCAGGCTGCTGGATCCACACCTGATGAGTGTGAATGGATCTGACAGAGACACAGTTGACACGTGTCTTCTCAGCTGCTTCTTCTTTACTACATTATTTTAAATCACATCTTGTATTGTATGTATCAACATCCTATTCTGCAAAGTTACATTTCGCCCTTCAGATCACTCGACAGCTTGATTTTGCAGAATTGATGAATTGCATTGACTTTCATTAACAGAAATACACATGTTACTACTAATATCTAGATTCTAAAGCAGTTTCATTAAAAGCGAGGTATTGCATTCAGCTGATTGAAGGATTGGCATCTGTTAATCAATGTCTGTCGGTACTGGTGAATACAGGTTTATAAAAATATTATCAGATCTAACAAATCCCCATTTTGCTTTGGTTCTTCAAATGTCAGGTCCAGCTCATTGTTTGATACAAGAGATCTGTGCCCACCTGAACAGCTAATGTTTCACAGAAGTTCTCAAAGGTTAATAATTAGGGGAAATCCCCTCCGTCTTGTATGATCAACTGCTTTGGGATACAGCCCCTAACAAAGTCACAAGGCCAATCCCCTTTTGGTAAGAATATGCTTCTTCCGTGCATGACCGATCACCCACAGACTGACTTTGGTCACATTGTGAGTGTAAACTGGTTTTCTCTCAGCTTCATGGCAAAGATAACAGTACTGTGGCCTTGCTGGTGTGTTGACCCACGAGCAACATTAGTGATAAGTGCTGAGTGTCCACTTGGCTCTTTTAAGGAAATTCCAGCCAACGATCTCCTGCTACACAGTTGTGTGTGTGCAAGTCTTTGAGGACCAAGGCTGTGTGTGTGTGTGTGTGTGTGTGTGTGTGGGTGAGTGGGTGGCTTTGTATCGCATGACATGACATTGTGACTGCGATTAGCTGCCACAGAACAACATGAAAGGTTACATTAATCTGCAGTACTACTCGGATCTACAGCATTGAAGTAAACGGATCAGCTGGCACAAGTACATGTGTTGACATTCATGTCCACCGAGGTGCTGCTCGGGATCATGTTGTGTAATTGTACGTGTTAATGTAAGCATGCTCATAACAGTGTTGAGGGTAAGGAATACTTTGTTTCCTTCTCCCTATTCAGATTTTTATACAATACAATATAAATCAACTCTTATTTTATCACTGGCAATACGTGTGTGTGTCTGTCTGTGTGTCTGTGGGGGGTACACATGTCAATTGTTGGTTATGACAAATTATATGAAAAGAATATTACAAAATAACAATAACCTGAATAGTAATCCTCCAGCTCTCCTACCCATGATCCTGGAAGCTGTATGGATAATCAATAGATGGATGATAATTAGAACTGTTTCATATATTACTGGGAAAGCATTGGCTCGTGGACTATCAGTGATCTTTCTTACTTTCGTCAAGCCCCTTGTTTATAAAGGAGGGTATTTGCATGACCACAGTTAGGACCATGCTTATTAAAGACCAGTTGGTGCAACTGGCCCCTGTGGAAGACGTAAACTATGAATCGCAGTTAACATTTCTTCCACATCAATCACAGAGCTTAAAAGTTGTTTGGTGGCTTGCAAACAACAGAGGAAACTGAAAACACACACACGGCCAAATTTGAAATAAAATCAGGAACTACAGTGCCATATGCGACAAACTCTTCGACTGACGTCTGCAGCAACAGCAGTCATGGTATTGTAATCCTCAGAGCCAGAAGCCACACCAGAATGATGACACAAAACTGATTTGTCACATCAGTGTGCCTCATTTTCTCGTAAGCTCAGGACATAACTGAAAGACAATCGTCCTCAGCTGCTGCCGGGCTATAGCTCCACCTTCATGTTGGGTTAGCAGCATCGTGGTCCCGCAAAATAGTTTGGAATCAAATCAACTCAGGTGATTTGTCTTTTCTCCACACGATGCCGAAGCTGTTCTAAGCTGGGACATATTTGTGGTGGTAAATCTGTGTAATCGCACATGAAGGGGTTGCCGTGCTTTGGCCAAACCACTTGTGTTTAGTCCCTGGCTGACTCTTGGCCGGTTCTCTGAGCCTTCTGAAGTCAGTGGTGGAATTCCATTCATGAGGCCTTTTCAGATTAAAGGCTTGGCTGTAAACGTTATCCATACACTGTTCTGTGCTGTTAATGAGTTCTTACCTGGACTATGAGCATAATCATTTCTGATTAATTTTCTGAATTGATATGGCTTTACCTTTAATTCCACTGAAATTGAATCTGCTCTTTTTATGTAAAACTTTCTGTCCCTTTATCCCACACTGGGCTCTCTCAGTGCATGATCATGAAACAGGCATGCAGAACATTCTGCCTGTAGCGCAGCATTCTAGCAGTGTTTGTATTTATAAAGTGTGAAGTCCGGTGTTCATGGTGAGATTTCCGCACTGAGCTGCAGAGAGATGCAGCTCACCTCCCTCTATTTGTGGACCGATGCACAAAGTTTCCTGGATATTACATGGCCCGCTCACTTCCTCACTGTGCCCACAAAGGGACATGTTCAGGTTTAACAAAAACCTCAGTTTGTACGTTCACAATACATCAGTTCCTCTGATTAGTGAAGACATTGACTATTGTCGTGACTTATAACGCAGCTATCAAGAGAAAGGAGAAACATTTTTTATAATTACCTTTCATATCCATTTTGCTCTTCCTTTATCAGTTGATAATAACCAGAGCCCATTTCTGTAGCCAGGTTGCAGAAGCTTTTACAGCACTTTATTATATCAGGGATGCCATGCCTTCCCTGAATTAAAATTCTGAAGCAAATGTCATTAAAATTGCCATTCACTCAACCGACACCAGTTAAGATTACAGATGGAACAGCTGGACAAAGTTTAGTGTGTACTTCCTAGGGTCGTCCGTTACTACACCTTTGTAGGTGCGTATCATGTATCAAGGCAGAATCCCTGGTTTGAATCCATCCCCTGTTTTTTTTTCTCATGCTATCCCCTCTCTCTTGTCTTTCTGAAAAATGCCCCAAAGCAGTTAAAACTTGCAAGCTTTGAGATTTGTTTGAGGCTTTTAGAAGCATTTTAACAAAGTACTTGTCCTCATCCAGCGAGAGACATCTTATTTGACCTTTTATAGAAATTTGGACAGGTCTTTTTCAGAAAACCGAACTTTCAGGTTATTATAGGAGATACATGTTGCAGGTTTTAACCAAAGCAGCAATTAAATCCATGGAAAATGGAGACATTACATTGCTGCTCAATTGTGAGACAGGAAGTCTCTTGAAAGCACCATGCAATAAAGTGACCATGAAAATTAAAACACTGAATATTTAGCGAAAGAATATTCAGTTAAAAGTATGAGCTGCTTTCTAGTGCTTGACTTTCACAGGTCATACAATTCTTCTAACTCAATGCAATAAAATGTGAGAAGCTTTTAAAGCACCAGTGAATAATTACTCAGCCCTGAGTTTGTGCTCAGTCAAATGTTGAAACACTTTTAATTTTAAACATTTAATTACCTTTACTTGCCACCTCTCATGTTGAAAAGGTTATTTTGGTGTTGGACTTGGTAAATATCTAGAAACATTTATTTCCATTCATTTTAGATCCTTCCAATTATTTGTATATAATGGAACAAAACCCTGAATTAAACTCAATCCCTAAAGTGGAACATAAAACATTTAAAAGAGCTTTGCTTTTATCAGTAGCATTATAAGTAACTTTTCTCCTCACACAATATGTCTTTGTCAGTAAAAGGTTGCAGTTTCAAGCATACAGGGCTTATTAATACAAATTATAATATATACATTGATAAGGACAGTTTTTTTCAACCCATCCTTTTTTTTATTTCAAATTCTTCAATTTCAAGTTAGAGGGAAAACTATGATGGCTTTATTAATGCATTTATTCAGTTTTCCTGTGGTATGCAGCTGAGTGTACCTCGACTTTGTTGTTAAACTATGATGTGAGATTTGTGAGTTGACTGCTGAAATCATCTTAAAAGAAAAATCTATTCCAGAAGCAGTAAGGAGACTGCATATGGTGAAAAGAATAAGAACAATTTGTCAGTGCATGAAATAGCTGCTGTCTGCCCCACATTATACTGGCTGGGTGTGTCGCCCATTTGGGGGTTAAGGTACAGCTGGGGGGAGTTTAAGGTAATACCTTCCATTACGTCTCTGCAGTGGGAGTCCCAGATGGTCTGCAGTCAAGCTCCTTTACTGACTCCGACAATGGTGAAGTGGAAATTGAATTGCATATGGTTAAGACCCAAAGCTTTTTCTATAATGGGTCTTAGTGACAGAGATGCTCACTCTCCTGTTAGCCCATATGGTCCTCGGTAGAGCTCTTTGGTCGTCTTTCGTGACTGAATGTCACGCCAGGAACCCAATGTCATGGATAAGGTTCAATTATTTTTTTAATACATTTGCTGATAAAAGTTGACACAACACAATTATTTTTTATTAGTGATTAGGCCCTTCATTTACAAGGACTTGCTAATATTTTGTGTTTTTCTTCAACAATTAAATTCTATTCTGGGAGGTCCTTAAACTAACTTGATAGATACATTTGTCCACACCCACTTGTAAGGCCCTGCCAAGCTTGATTACTAATCTTGTAATCTTTTAGTACTGTACTGTACCATCATCTCCATTTCATGACAAGATCACTGTATTCATCAGTCTGTACAAGCACAATATCAGGATGTTGAATATTTCCATAATCTAATCTATGAACTTTAATTAAAAAACAGTGACAGGTGAGATCACCAATCACAGTTTATCTAAAGCATGTTCTCTTTCATAAGCTAATGTCTATAGTCTTTACCCGCTGTCTTTGATAGAATCCAAGCTAATGTTTAACCTACAGTATATACCGATGGTTGA